AGAAGGTTGTCATTTGGTTTAACCTTCATTAGACAATGTTTCAATTAGATCACATTTCAATTCAACAAAAAGTAAAATAGTGAAAATATAATAGAAAGTATTCATTAACACTCCAAATTAGTTTTTTTACATTTTACTCACGTTTGTTATTTTGAAATCTATTAAATATAATGTTGAGTTAAATTTGGAGATAAGCTCCAAATGTTCAAAATCACTTTGGAACTCTATAGTGTTTTGCAAAAATGTTTTTTTCTAAATTATGTGCAAAATATAGCAATTTAGCAATAATTACTTATAACAGGTGGTTTATTATTAAGAAACCAGTGAACACTCTCTGGAATGTGTTATTTTTAAAAATTGTTTTCACGTAGCTGGATGTTTGCGATAAATGTCAATGTTACTAGTTAAGTAAAATACCAAAAAATAATACATAGTATATTCTTAAATAGTAGTATAAAAAATAAAATAAGGTGGCCTGATCGGGAATGGAGTAGGTCGCATCTCGAGCCTGCTCCGCGGCCCCAGCTCACACTAGCACCCATCAACGAGCGCTAATCGACCCGAGATGGGTAAATCTAGGAGACCCCACACGCCGGGTCCCTCGCAAGCCGGTTCGCTGGGTCGCACCTCGGGCCCCATGGATGGCTTTGTTTGCACGCCACGAGACATGCGGTCGGCGCCGACCGCAGCCAAAATGGCGCCGGCCTCCCCAGGAGATAGCAGCAGTGACAGCCAGACGCAGGGCTCGCCCAGGGGAGAATCTCTCACCCAAATTGCATCAGAGGTGGCCAAGATCTCTGCCAATATGCTGTCCCGTGCGGACAAAGCTGAGATGCTGGCAGAAATCAGGACTGCAATCAGAGAGGAAGTTATGGAGGTGAGGAAAGATCTGACAGCAGCCAAAATGGCGCCGGCCTCCCCAGGAGATAGCAGCAGTGACAGCCAGACGCAGGGCTCGCCCAGGGGAGAATCTCTCACCCATATTCTGGGAATCAGAGCCCCAGAAGTTTACGGCATCGAAAGGGCGCTGCGACCCTTGTCCCCGGAGGGACCACCAAGAGACGTAATTTGCTGCTTGCTCTCTTACGCCTTAAAAGACGACATCATGAGAGAGGCGCGCAATCAGCAGAACATCGCCTTTAGAGACAGACAGGTCTCGCTTTACCAGGATCTCTCAGCGCTCACGCTGGAGGCCAGGAGGGCGCTGCGTCCAGTAACCGCCATCCTCCGGGAGCGGAGGATCCCATACAAATGGGTCTTCCCCTTCAGCCTGCAGGCGAAGGTGGGCCCTACCTGGCATATTATCTGCTGGCCAGCGGATGTACCACGCTTCATACGAGCCACTAGTCTACCCGCGGTGACGGTATCCAACTTGCCCGTTGTCCCCCCTCCTGTTTGCCCTCTCCCTGGAACCCTTCCTGGGGGCGGTCCGACGGGACGGGGGTATCACGGGATTCACCGTCGGTCGACGAGAATATCGGGTAGCCGCATACGCAGATGACATGTTGTTTTTTCTCACCCAACCACAGATCTCACTTCCTAATCTTCTGGCCGCATTCCGAAGATTTGGCTCAATATCTAACCTTAAGCTCAACACAGATAAGTCAGAGGCCCTTCACCTACCAGGCCCTCAGGACCCCTCACCGACGCTATATACCCAATTCCGCTTCAAATGGTGTCCCACTAAATTGAAATACCTGGGTATATGGCTACCTAAAGACATGACCCAACTGTACTACCAAAACTACCATCCGCTGCTACAAACGATCCAGGCAGACATGAGAAAATGGGCTCCTCAATATATATCTTGGTTTGGACGCATTAATGCAGTCAAAATGAACCTTCTACCCAGACTGCTCTACTTATTCCAGGCGGTGCCGATCGCGGTCCCCAGAGCGTTCTTTAGCTCCCTGACGACCGCCATCTGCAGATTTGTCTGGAATTCGCGCCCTACGCACCAAGAGAACGACATTGGAACTGACGAAACCGTTGGGGGGAGTCGGCCTGCCTTCAATTGAGACATACTACAGGGCCGCACATTTACACAGGCTCACAGATTGGCATGCACAACATCCCACAAAACAATGGGTCACACTGGAATTAGAACAGTCGGGAGAGCACATAGCCCCCACATTATGGCTACACACGGCCACATACGCAGACCTACAAACCAAAAATCCCTTAATAGACGCCACCCTAAGGGTCTGGACGGCAACCCAATACCATCTACAACTCACCACTTCACCCAGTCCCCTGACCCCCCTCATACATAACCCGGACTTGGCAGATACGCTAACGCGCGGTGACTTAGCCGGACTCCAACCAACGGACTGGTTATATATACACCAGTGGCTCAGCTCCAACGGTCTCAAAACACTCGGAGAACTATGCCCCGACAGAACACCTACATTCCTTGAACAGTTCAGATACCGCCAAATAAAATCATACTACTCATCCCTGTCGGGTAAGGAGCACTTACACACACCCTTAACTGACTTCGAAACCCTGACACATCACCAGGGGTATCTCAACCCTGTACACACTACTCATGACCCGGACGAACAGGGACGTGGAGCTTAGGTTCAAGACCACTGGGAGAGGGACGCGGGAGAGACACTCACTGCGCAAGAATGGGACAAGATTTACACCGTTACGCACAAATGCTCTATTAGCTCGAAATTTCAGGAATTAAACTATAAAGTGCTAACACGCTGGTATAGAACGCCCGACACACTGCACCGCATGCACGGTACCACGTCAGACATATGCTGGCGATGTGGCACACAACCTGGCACTTATATCCACATGTGGTGGTCATGCCCGGTAATTGCCCCTTTCTGGGAACAAATTAGAGGAGAGATCAACAACATCACAGGCTCCGATATCCCCCAGGCACCCTTAACGATGCTTTTGCACCACACCCGAAGCCCACTGAAAGCATACAAAAAATGCCGCCAAATCCCTCATCCCGAAGATGTGGAAACAGCCAAGAGCGCCCACCTTGGGGCAATGGGTGGCGGCGGTGGAGGACATATACTCAATGGAGACCCTGACGGCCGACCTACACGGGAGACCGGAGAGGTGTGCATTGACCTGGTATCCATGGACCACATACGTGGCTGACAGAATTGTGACCCCCGAGCCAACTTAGCTGAAACTCGCAGAACATCACGACAAATACCTTACCCCCCATAGGCACAGACATGCCCTACCCACTAACCACACACAGACAACTGACAGTTTCCCCCACGACCAAAACTGACATCTGAAAGACATAACACCCACTTGGACAAACTACCCACACCACCGGGACCTAGAGCAAACCAGGACGGACAACTTGAATCAGCCGGTAGCACAGAGACAGGTTTGAGACACGGGACAACTCGACTCCCGGTAAACAGTAAGACCCCAAAGCTCACGCAAATAACCCCGAACACTGTACCTGCAGTTGGTAGACTGCTACTAAGTAGAACAGAGGCTCCCCCCGTATCTGAGATGCACAGACAACCTCCCATACGACCAGCACGTCACTTAGCACCGCAGTCTGCAGTGGGGAAGGTACACCTTAGGACGACAGACCCAAACCGGGGAACCGGGAATCAGATAATCGGGTCCAATCATTAACATAGCACTCCAAGTAGCACAGTGCACCTAAGGGATAACCCTCGAAGGCTACGAAAGAAGCTAGGGAAGTATCCAAGGGACAGCGTACCAAACACGGACAGCTAGAATTGCAGTCTAAATCAGTTAGAGCCCGAGGCGGCAATCGCCGCAAAGACCCGAGATTCCGACCTAGCTTCGTAAGAGCGCTATGTAACTGCAGGCACTAGCCACGACGGGTCTATGTTGTTGCAGGAGCATAACCTTGTTTGCGCAATGTTGTTAATTCAGACTAAATGTACTTTACCGGACTGACTAATGTTACATTATCTTTTGAAAAATCAGATAAATAAAGATTGTCAAAAAAAATAAAATTAAAAAATAACACACTAAAATTTTTTTGAATTATCAACTAATTTTTGAACGTCAAATAAACTATATATATATAATTTCTGTATGTACTATGGTTTCTGTTTTTCCGAATGACCTATATATCTGCATCCCAAGTCTCACTTTTTTGTTCAATACTGCAAATGGAATTTTCATGTTAACCTAACAAGCTGATATTTCCTGTGAATATATTGTCACTATTACAGAATCTCTTGGGGTATTAACTGTGTAGTATCAGAGAGGTTCGATGGAGGAAAAAAACAAACAAGATAGCAGTCGTACAATACCTAATTTTTTATTTGTTTTCTGTCTCAACAAATTGTGTTTTAAGATCACAGTAAGAATGTGAAACTAAGTTAGACTAGAGCATTAAGTCTTATCCAGTTTTGCACCTTGTGAATAGAAAAGTCTAATTTGTGTTCATTTTTCCTTACATGTGACAGATGTGAACAGAATATTGTAGGTGAAATTAATATCTCACATAAACAACAGACTGGAAACAGCAAAAATATGATGAAAGAGAACCCAGTGGGCTGTATAAAGGTATTTTCTTTTTTTTTGCTCACATCGAACAGCTGGTTCCATCATAACCACAACAGAGAATATTTAATGAATTATTCACATTGTGTGGATTCCTCTTTAAAACCACTGTGACTAAATTGACTAGCACTCGCTGGTTCTTTTAGCTCTGATAGAATACAATTATTTAACTTGAGAAACAAAAAATAAAAATATTAATTTATTAATATTAATAATTGAATTATTTTGAGTAAATCTAAAGGGAAAAAGAGGACAAGGTGATGAAAAATAATATATGTTTTATACACCCAACATGGAATTGTGTAGAATTTACAAGGGGTTTTCAGTTGACAAGCTCGAAAGAGACTTTATTAATCAGTTAAAGTGTGTGTAGCGGAGCTTCAATACTCCAAGCGAGTATGTATGCTGAAGTCTTCTTAGGTTGGAAGAAATGCTGCTTTAAGGATTATAGCCCACCTCCCCAAAGTACTAGACAACACTTAGTGAAGGGGAGAACAACAACTTTTATTAAAAACAGAACATCTATTTAAACCCTTAATAGCCTCATTTACGTACAATAGAGTTACATTGGTACCCAATGACAGTATGGACTTTAGACAGAACCAATCACACTGAATATTGCAAGCCAACCAATCACAGTATGAACTTGGGATAGAAACTACAACACTTACAACCAGTGTGAATGGAGCCCTGTAATTACCAGGAAGGTTGGGGAGAGACAATAACAAGAGATTTAAAAGAGTCACAGGGCAGCCAATTTTTAACTGGTCTGGAAATGTCCCTGGGACAATGGGACAATGTCCTGCTCGGGAAACAATAAGACAGGAAAAGGAGAGAGGGGGAAAAATGCATACAACCTGGACAATCAATATAATATAGATTATACACACCAATACATTATACACAGGAGCAATCTGGGGATCTTCATAAAGTGTCCAGCAGTGATGGTGACTACCGTCACAGTGTGCATGATAACTGATTAATAAACTCTGTTTCAAGCTGTCCATGGCATCTCCTCGTATTGTGTAGAACCCGACCAGACCTGCAATATTACACTTGGAGCCTCTACAGTTTGAGCAGTCTATACCTGCTCTACACTTATGAGTGTATTGGGAAATGTCCCCATTTCACTACATTTAATATTATAGTTTTACACTTGATATGTTTTCCTTTTTTTCTATGTCCAAAATCATGTATGTTACTGTATGTGTTTCATCACAAGGTTTTGAGGTGATCACATTAGCTCAGAGCACTTTATTTAACACAAGAATGTTTTTAATAATTTTCAGGGGGTTTTTCAGTCAATAATGTGTATATTTATAGGCACAGCACACCTTATATAGTTATTTTAGATTGTATATTTAGTGTTTTGGGTTGTTGCACTGATTTGGATGCTGCTAGTCAAAGTAATTCACAGAGCCATTTTATCACTTGCTATTTATTAGGTTAGACTTTACTATCTAAATACTTTTGCTGAAAATGAAGATAACTGTCATGCATGTTGCGATACTCAAACATGTCACGAAATTCCAGGCCACGGTAATTATGACAACATTGCAAAGTTACAAAGTGTTGTAGAAGGAA